GGAGAGAGAGAGAGAGAGAGAGAGAGAGAGAGAGAGAGAGAGAGAGAGAAATTTACCACCCAGGCAATGATCCACAGACACACTGGTGAGCACTCCAAGGGTTTCTGTCTCCTGAATAACCCCTGGCCTGTCCTCTCCTCTCCACCCACTCAGCCCCTACCCCAGCCCATTCTTTCCCCCTTGTCTTCCAGCCTGGACTCTTCCCTGGACACTCATCCTCCAATCCCTCCTTATGTGACAGTTATATGGATCCTTATAAAGGCCCAGTTGCAGTCCTGCTCTCCCCGCTGCTTGAGTACTTTCCATGGCTCCTCAGTGCTCTCATGGTGAAGGTCAAAGTCTTAGAGTGGCTTTTGAGACACTCTTAGAGAGAGCTAGTCTTTTGGATCCGTTTAGACTCTTTTAAGATCACAGCTATCCCACCCCATCACCCCATGTACTCATTCACCCATCCATCCATCCATCCATCCATCCATCCATCCACCCACCCACCCATCCATCCATCCATCCATCCATCCATCCATCCATCCATCCATCCATCCATCCATCCATCCATCCAAAGACACAGCATCCACACTGTGCCCAGTCCTACATACAGCTCTCTTGACACACCACACTCGCTCCTGACCTCAGGCTTTCACACAAGCTGCTCCCCACTTCTGGCCCACGCATCCCCACTTCTACTCATGCCTCAGTTCTCAGCTCTGATGTCCTGTCCTACTCAGCCCTGGTCAGATGGCCCCTGGGTGCTGCCCCAGCCTCCTGTCACCCCCCTCACCCTGTCCCCACCACTCTGGGTTATCGGAGTGTAGTTACAGACCTGCACCCAGCTGTGGGTGTGAACCCCAGGAGGGTGGTCTCTGTCTCCACGGCAGCCCCAGCACCCCCAAGCACAGGGCGGAAAACAGTGAGAGTTCTCGGCATGATTATCTGGGTGGATAAAGCTCCCCAAGACTGTATACACATGCCTTTGATTTAGGGTCTAAATTCCGTGGCATGGACGTGAGTGGAGGTGACGATCTGCTACCACCTAAGATGCAGGCAGGTGTCGGCTGCCCTGCGAACCATAAGCCTTGGCTCTATGGAGGCGGACACCTGAGACCCCTCAGCTCTAGGCCTCCAGATGTGGACACTGGAGTTGTTCAAGGAAGGTTCCCACAGCTGCCAGTGAAACACGATAGTCGTGAGTGTCCGGGGGACACAAAGGGTCCTGGGGACAAGTGAGGGGCTGCGAGGGGGTCTAGGTGGAGAGGTGGAAGAGGGAATCATGGTGAAGGGGCACCCAGGGGAAAGGGGTGGGGGGGGCAAGGTGTGCCTGGGTGTGTGAGCTCATGAAAGTCCTGGCGAGTGTCCTGTCCCCCTCGCCTCTCTGCTCCAGTCCTGCTAGGTCAGCTTTCTCTTACCCACAAGGGCCAGTTCGCTCCAGTGGCCAAGCCTAGGTCTGGAGAGATGCATGAGCTCCGGGGGTCCTCCTGGTGCAGGAATCTCTCAGGCACCAGACAGCCGCCTCTGGACGCCTTCACCACCTGTGCCTCCGGCCCTGTGCTCCTGTCTCATCCCCCTCCTGCCTCCGGCTTGGACTCTGCACCCCAGGAGGGAGGGGCTGGGCAGGAGGGCCTCCGGGGAGTCAGTCATTACCTTTATGACTTTGTGTTGCCTTTACTTATTTATTTTATTACACTATTCCATCCCATTTACAAACACGAAGCAAACCCCCCCCCAAAACCCCCAAGAACCACATGGTCACTTTTAGGAACACTGGAAGATACCAAACGGTGGAACAAGGACACGACGTGGGACCTTCTGAACGCGTGTCCTGTTGTTCTGGTTTTCCTAAGCACTGCCGAATTTTCAAATTACAACCGGCTGCTTTGCTCCTGGATGGGGAGTGCACCACATCCCCCCTCCCCCCGGGCAACGACTGTTCCTGCCCGTGGCCATTTCAGTGAGAGAAGGGCAGGCTTCTCTGTGCCTGGGCCAAAATGTATACAGCAGTTGGCGTGGGACTTTCACACTACTCCTAAAATTCAGCCTTGGAGAGAGGATCAGAGCTGCTCCATGCAGCGGAGGCGGTGGAGGGAGACTGGAGCTGTGCTCAAGGGCGATGGGGCTACATATTCAGGTGACTAGGGACAGGTAACTGGGGTGGGGAGACAGCACATCCCGGACTGTACAACTGACAAGGTCATCTTTCATTTTCCTACCAACAAATAATGACTTTTGAAAATTAAAAAAAAAAAAAAAGTTTAATGTTTTCATTGATTTTAGAGAGAGGAAAGGAGAGAGAGAGAGAAACATCGACTGGCTGCTTCCTGCACGCCCCCTACTGGGGATCCAGCCGCAACCCAGGCAGGTGTCCTGAACTGGAATCGAACCTGCGACCATTTGGTGCACTGGATGAAGCTCAACCAATTGAGTCTCAGCAGCCGGGGCCAAATATGACTTTTTTTTTTTTAATGGCACAGGGAAAGTATTGGCAGTAAAAAATTTGGAAAATTATTAACAGAAAAAAATAGAATTAACACTGCCTTAATAAATCATTCAAAAATGCTTTATGAATCTTTATAACAAATAATTTAAGATTAGATAAATAGTTAAGTACTTATCTAAATATATATAAAATATGTATACCTGCATACATTTTTTACATGTATAAATATATAAATAAAAAATATTTTATAAATAGAATAAATACACAATTTTAAATTATGATTTAATTAATGCTCTTAAAAATCACCTGTCATAATTTGACTCCCCGGAGACATAGCAAGCTTTTTTTCTATGAATCCTTTCAGTTCTGATGTTTTATATATACTCATACACATATGCATATTTTTACCACAGTGGAATCATACCATTAAATTTCCTTCTTTATTTGGGCTTCACCAATGTTAAACCCAAGTTTAGCCAGAGAACGTGAGAGGATATACACCTCTGAGTGTCTGGTGGCTTATTAAATATCTCTGAAGTCTCCTAGCCTCTCCTAAAATATCCATATGCAAAGGACATCTGTTTAATAGGAAAGTAATGTATTAGTTACCATTAAAGGTATTTAATGGGTCACCCCCCACATTTGAGTGTAAGTGGTGTCCCCAGAAGACATGCAAAGTTGGCCTTCTAGCTTTAGCTCAACTGAAGCTCTTGGCTATGGTCCCTTCCTCATCTCCAAATTCTCCTCCATTGTCACTTCTCCTGAGATGCTGGCTCTCCTGTCCCCCTTTCTCACTTATACAGGCCCTTGTGCATACACCCCACTTTCCTCCTCCCTAAGGCACCCCACTATTTAGGATTGCATTCAGCTGAAAAGCAAAACACAAAAATAATAACAAGGCAGTCTTAAAGAAGGTAGTCATTGATTTCTCTCTCATAAAAGGAGTCTGGTAGTGGGCAGTCCTCGGTGAGTTTGGGAGCTTTATGATAACAGGAACCCAGGCTCCTTCTATGTTGTTGCTCTGCAATCCCTGTGACTCACACATCCTGATCCAAACAATCAGCAGAGACCAAGGCCCATTAGTCACCATGATTAATGATTTTTTTCCCCTTATGTAATCCATCCCCTGGAAGCCATCAGGGAGCCAGGTCTTTGAGCAGGAGCCACCCGTGACCCTGGGCATGGTGCCATCTCCTTAATAAATCCTCACTTTCTTGGCTGGAAACTCTTTTTGTCTTATTGGCTTTGATTCACACAGGCAAAAGGACCCCTTCAGTCTGGTAACATTCCCTCCAGAAAGATGTGTCCATAGTACATGTAGCTCCCCTCCCCTCAGCCATCCCTAAAGTTCACCTGGAGGCAGGCGACAGCCTGGGGAGAAGCCTCAAGAAGGCTTAATCTCTTTCTGGAGCTGTCTTGTGCTGATCTCAGCCTATTGATAATCAGTGTTGTGGCTGGATTGGCCATCGTAGTTATTATGATTGCAAGATGCCCTCTGCCATAACCATCAGGAAACTTTAAAAAAATTAAGGTTTATTACAAACAGGCCCTGTAAATTACACAGCATACTTGGGGCTGTACAGCAAGGTCACAGGAAGGGAGGGAAAGAGAGAGAGGGAGAGAGGGAGAGAGAGAGAGAACAGAGAGAGAGTGTGTGTTATTATTGGTGAATTTAAAACATAGAGCTGGAATTTAAAGCATCAGAAGAGAAAAAAACAAGTAGCCTAAAAGGTCAGTTATAAAAATTAACCAAGACCTTTAAAACAACAAAGCCTCACCCTGGCTAGTTAACTCAGTCGATTATAGCTTCGTCCCGCTATGACAAGGTTGTGGGTTTGGTTCCCCAGTCAGGGCACAAGAAGCAACCAATGAATGGAAATTAAGTGGAACCAATCAATGTTTCTCTCTCTCTCTCTCAAATCAATAAGTAAATTTTTTTTAAAAAAATAGAGCCTCTTAGAGAGAAGTGGCTTGAGTCTTATCTAGTCGTGTGGCTGGCAATGTGTTTTTCCCAGAAAGCCATCTTTGATGTGAATGCCTTGGCAACCAAAGCTGAAATCAGGCACTTGCATTACCAAAAAGAGAGGAAACTCAACTGCCAGGGGTTACACTACCAGAACCCAGCTTTGTACCTTCTTATCAGGAGAGAACTATGTCACAGCCCCTCCCAGGGCAAGGTTCTGCCCAGCACAGCCAGAAGGTACACTCATAAAACAGGCACTCCTCCCTGTTTATCAGGCCTGGAGACCACAAGGAATGTTCACCTGAGATCTTTATGGACCTGTAAACCTCAGGGAGCCATGACAACCAACAGACTTTGTGTCCCTCTGGATATACCCCGTCTCCCCAGAGCACCAGGCCAGCAGGGGGAGCCATGGAGCTGTGAAGCACAGCAACCCTGACCTTGGCATGGGGAACTTCGGGACCCTGGTAGGATAAGGCCCACGAAATCATTTGGTCTGGCCCATTTGGTGAGTTAATTAAATGTTTGACCAAATACAGCAGGCTAATTTTTAAGTTGATAATTTTGTATGGCCCACAAATGATGTTATAAATATCCAGGTGGCCCTTGGCAGAGAAAAGGACCAGTGCTGCATCAGAGAAGAAAGCGGGATGGGAAAATAATAATATTAACAATAGCAAGAGATGGGCTGAGGGAGGAGACTGATGCGGTGATCCCAGTAATTCTCTGCGTGAGCAGCAGGGGAACCCTCACCAACGTAAGGAATGCTGAGACAGGTGAAGGGACTCAAGGGGGGCGTCATGGGCCAGTGCCCAGTGCACAGACTCCAGCTTCCAGAGGAGCGTTGCCTGGTCTCTGTGGGCCTCAGTGTCCTCATTTGAAAAGTGGACATCACAGCTCCTACTTTTATGACTGGAGAACAAAAACCAGGCTGAATAAAATCAGCAGTAATAATACACACACAGAGAGACACAGAAGGAGAAAGACTGGCCCTTCCATGATATGAGCACTGGAGACGAGCCACATCTCAAGCCAGGTCAAATCAGGGCCTGATTTTTTAATTTAAATTTAAATTTAATTAAATTTATTTTTCCTCACCTGAGGATGTTTATATTGATTTTAGAGAGTGAGGGGGAGAGAGAGAGAGAAACATTGATGTGAGAGAGAAACATTGATTGGTTGCCTCCCAACCAGGGATGGAACCCCTGAAACCTGGGTATGTGCCCTGGCGGGGAATCGAACCTGCGAACTTTTGATGTACAGGATGACACTCCAACCAACTGAATCACACCGGCCAGGGCTTGATTTTTTTTTTTTAAAGGTACTCGGGAGGCAAAGAGATAAAAGACAGGAGCCCCAGATCTGGTAACTACAGACAAGTCAGTAAATACTCCAACCTACAATTTGTCCCTCACTATATATTTTTTCTTTGTGGGTTTGGGGATTTGGAGTGTATAGTTAAGAACAAATGCTCCGAGACAGGAAGGTAAGATTCAAATCCTGGCTCCAGCACGAGGCGGGTGTGCTCTCTAGAAAGTGAGATCATGAAATATCTCAATGTGGTGACAGTCTACTCTTATAAGTGTCAACGTAAGAACATCCAAACTTATAGAGAATTTTTATGAGAGTTTATTTGGGCCAAAATGAATGACAATTGCCAGGAAGCAGGATCTCAGATGCTCCGGAGGGTGACGAGTTCGCAGTCTCTTCTATACATTTGAAATTAAGGCGGGCATGTAAGGAAGACTTTTGAAGGCGGGAGAAATCAAGGCAGAACCTATTGCAATATGGTTAACAACTATGTGCTTCCTCGAGGGTGGTCATGCTTTGGGAGCGCGGGTCCGAAAAGAGGCCTTTCAAAGATGTGTTAACCGAGATGCACAAGAACAAAGGGCAGGTCTCACTTAAGGCAGAGAAAAGCCTTCTACTAAAGACGTTACGTGCTTGGGGGTGACTACCCAGCATGACCTGCGCAGTTAGGGATTTATGATCAGGTCGCCCTGTGAGGCTCCTTTCCGTAGAAGCCCTTTTCCCGTCCACATTAAGCTGATGACAACTTAACCTCAATCACACACAAAAGCTCTACACCTTCCCCCTCAATTTTATTGTTTTGGTGTCACAATCTACATCTTTTTATATTGTGTATCCATTAACAGATGGTTGCTTTAATACTTTTGTTGTTGTTTTTATAAATCCTTACCTGAGGATACGTTTTTATTGATTTGAGAGAGAGGGGGAGGGAGAGGGTGAGGGAAGAATCACTTTGTTGTTCCACTTAGTGACGCATTCATTGTTCACTTCTTGTACGTGTCCTGGCCAGACACCAAACCCACAACCTCGGTGTATTGGGATGATGCTCTAACCAACTGAGCTACTCGTCCAGGGCTTAAATATTCTTAAAACAAACAAACCCCCCCCCCCCCCAAAAAAAAACCCCCATGAGGCACTGGGAAACATTGAGAAGTGATAGATATAATTCTTACCTTGATTATAAGCACGGTTTAAACGGGTGTATGGGTATGTCCAAACACATCAAAGTGCATACATTAAATATGTGTCCATTTTTGTACGTCAGTTATACCTCAATAAATCTATTGAAAAGTAGAGATCTATCTGTGAACCTCATTATCACTCTGACAGTGGAAAACAGATCGTTACTACGGACCTCAGTGGGCGGTCATAAAACTCAAAGGATCTATTGTAGGTGAAGTACTTACACCGGTAATTAATTGACACTAAATACACTAACTTGCTTCAAGCAATTAACTGGACCGCTTCCAGCTAATTACAGAAGTCTCAGGCGACCTTTCACCTGATTCCAATAGCTGGCTGCGGAGGCGCGGGCGCGGGAGAGCCCTTGCTGCCATCTGGTGTCTGAAACCTGAATTTTTGCCTCCGCAGGTTCCCACGGGAAGGGGGCCCCGCAGGCACCAGCACGCTCGCTCACCCTCTTTTGCTGAGCAGAGGCATCGCCCCAGGCTCTGGTTGGGCTTGTTGGGCGTTGGATGGGAGGTTGTCACAAAGCGGGATGTCAGGAACCTTTGCGGAGAGAGAAAGAGAGTGACAGAAGGGAGAAAGAGAGAGAGAGAGGAAGGAAGAGAAAGGGAAAGAAGGGGCGCTCTTCCTGGTGCCATGTGGGAAATTATGTAACAAAACCTTACTGCACCCTGATACAAACCCACGTCCTGCATTCACACCAGACCCAGATTGCTCGTCCAGCCACAGAATAGACAGGCCTCTGGGTAATGTCAGGTGCCTCAGGCTCCAGGATACAGGCAGCTGGGGCATGTGAAAAGCTAGAGAAACAGCCACATGGGTCAACCCCGACCAGAGGGGCTGCTGCCCAAAGCAAAAGTGTGCATAACACAGAGACTGACACGGAGGCCAGATGCAGAGGACATTCGCACTGTAGCTTTGAAGGAGAGTTTGGAGCAGACTTCACCCGTGTATTCAAGCGTCATCGGGAACCCACGGTGAGCACACACTCTGCACCCGGCCCTGCCCTTGGGTGGTGATGGAGAGAGGTTGGCGGCATGGCCGCGGAGGTGAGTGGATTCTGTGTGCTAAATGCCCAGGTAATCAGGAGCATGCTTTGTGGTCATAGAAACCCATATTTCCACCCCCTTCCTCCACTCTTTAGCAGCATTAATATGCCCCAGTCCTGGTACAGAGGGCAGGTAGCAAAGGACAGGATATGGGCAGGCAGCCAGTGGAGCCTCCAGCCACGGCCCCAGCCATGTCTCGTGGTCACGCCGTCTACCAGGCAGGTCCTGCAGGTTGTCTGTGCCCTCCCAGATGGGGACCATCTCCGGGCATGGACTGACGGGGCCTGCTGGGTCTCCTCTGCCTCCAGCCCCCACACAGGGTGCAGGCTCACTCTATGTTTGTTGAGTGGATGAGTGAAAGAGTGAATGAAGGAGTGAATGAAGGAGTGAATGAATGAATGCCTGAAATAATGGCTGCCTCCTACACTTTAGCTAAGACCCTTACTTATATTTTTTTACATGGCCCATGCCCACACAAAACATCCCACACCCCATGCCTGCCTGCCTCTGCAGTCTAGATGGGGTTTCTTGACCTTGGCACTGACCTTTGGGCTTGCTGTTGGGATGCCGACCTGTGCATTGCAGGACATGTAGAAATGTCTGTGGACTCTACTCACTCACTGCCCATTGCACCCCCTCCCAAGCTGTGATCATGCAACGTGTCCAGACATTGCCAAAGGTTCCCTGGTGTGCAGGACAGGAGGCCCTGTAGTTCCTGAGACCAGAAATTTGTGTAGGGAGTAAAAATATCTTTCCCCTCTGCCCTTCTAAGTCCTCGACTTAGACCCTAGGAACAGAGAAAGATTAGGCACCACATCTTGGGGTAGTGTGCCCTGAACCACACCATGTGTAATGAGTTCTGTTGTGTAGAAATCAAGTTGTTGGCTGGGATGCACTCCCCCCAGAGGCCCCAGGAGATAACCTGGCCCTTGCTTACTCCAGGTGACCTGGCTGACAACTGTCCTTGGGTGTGGCTGTGTCACCGTAACCTGTCTCTTGGTCACAGTGCCTCCTCCTGCTCTGTGTGTACAAAGATGCCGCATGGTTTCTATTCTGCAGATGCCATTGAAACATCATGAATCAGCAACTAGANGTGGTGAGAAACTGAAACAGTTTCTCCAATTCCCACACACCGAGTGACTGGAACCATAAAAAAGAGCTTCCTGTCCTGGCTTATGGGACATGCGGTTCCCTTTGTTTTACATAAAGATGCAACACTGTTCTTATTTTGTAGATGCCGTTGCAACATCAGGAATCAGTAATTGGTTGTAAAATAAAAACCCACACTTGTATTTTTAGAAAATACCCAGCAAGCCACCAGGACACAGGGTAAACTCACCAGTGACTGCAGCTCTAAAGCCAGACAGTGCTGTGTTTGGGAGGCAGTGATGTCACTGGGTGGGGAGTTTCTCACAGACACGGACCAGGTCCATGTATCTGTTCTTGTCTTGCCTTCAGCCAGCAAACACTTAGGTGCAGCCGAGTGTTTGGTGAATGAACGAATGCTGCCCTCACTTCACTGTGACCCCTTCATTTCTTCTGTCCCAATCCTTCACCCACAGGAACGACCACAGCTTCTAGATGAGGCTGGGACCTCTGGCCAACGTAGGGTTGAGCGGCTGCCTGGAACAGGCAACAGAGCTCAGAAAAGCCCCTAGTATGAGCGAACCTCAGGGGACTCATGTGTCCCATCCTCAGATGTCCTCAGAGGTGCTGGTCCTGCTCCGGTGCTGGAGGGAGGCCCCAGGGATGGGACAGGACCGGGGCCTGGTCCTTGTGTGTTCTTCTCTGGGCGGGTGGCCAGGGTCTCTGGGCTGTGGGGTGTCCACCTGCTCTGTGCAGAGAGGGGAAGCGCTTTGGCTCTGAGGTTCCCCTTTTGTGAAGGGCCAGGATCTCCTGTCCTCCCCAGCTTCCGTGGACTCACCACGGTTCCCCTCCCACTGCCTTCTTTCTTTCCTTATTCACAGGAGCTCAGTAACCCTCTGGTCAGAGATGCTGCTGCTGCTGCTGCTGCTGCTGCTGTGGGCAGGTGAGTGTCTGANATTCACAGGAGCTCAGTAACCCTCTGGTCAGAGATGCTGCTGCTGCTGCTCCTGCTGTGGGCAGGTGAGTGTCTGAGGGGGAGGGAGGGCAGCAGGGGGACTGCAGCTGACCCTCCTTTCCCTGCAGGGTCCCTGGCTCAGGATAAAAGATACCAGATGAAAGTGAATTCATCTGTGACGGTGCAGGAGGGCCTGTGTGTCTCTGTGCACTGCTCCTTCACCTACCCCCGGACCTATGCGAATTACCCTGCTTATGGCTTCTGGTTCCGGGAAGGGGCTGATATATACCAGGATGCTGCTGTGGCCACCAACCACCCACATCGTGAAGTGCAGGAGGGGGCCCGGGGCCGATTTCACCTCCTCTGGGATCCCCAGGCCAAAAACTGCTCCCTGGACATCAGAGATGCCAGGAGGACAGATGATGGATTATACTTTTTTCGGGTGCAGAAAGGAACTTCTTTGTTATATTCTTATGCATGGAACAAGCTCTCCCTGCATGTGACGGGTAAGGAGTGGGCTCCAGGAGAGGCCTCAGGGGAAGCTCATGGTGGCTCCAGAGCAGGCCTGGGATGGAAGGACCTGGACTGCAAAGCCTGGGGCTTCTGTCAGGGCCGCACCTGGGCCCTCCCTCCTGACACCGTCTCCCCCTCTCCTCACCAGCCCTGACCCACACACCTGACATCCTCATCACAGGGGCCCTGGAGTCCGGCTGCCCCAGGAACCTGACCTGCTCTGTGCCCTGGGCCTGTGAGCGGGGCTCGCCCCCCATCTTCTCCTGGACCTCAGCTGCTCACACCTCCCTGGGCCCCAGGACCCGCTTCTCTTCTGTGCTCACCCTCACCCCACGGCCCCAGGACCATGGCACCAACCTCACCTGTCAGGTGCATTTTCCTGCAGCTGGTGTGACTGTGGAGAGAACCATCCAGCTCAACGTCACCTGTGAGTGCTAGGCNGTGACTGTGGAGAGAACCATCCAGCTCAATGTCACCTGTGAGTGCTGGGCCAGGACACCAGGGTCCCTGAGGGTGTGTGGAGCAGGAGGGCCAGGCTGGGTGCTTTGTCCTGGGGGCCTGGCTGAGCAGGTGACTAGAGGACAAATCCCTGTCCCTCCTGCATTTCTCTTGCATCTGGGGGTTGGGTGATGCCTATATGATCCTCACCCCATCTCACTGACAAGGGAACTCCTCTCTTCCTGTCCTAGGTGCCCCACAGAACCCAACAGCAGGTGTCAGCCTAGGAGACGGCACAGGTAGGAAGAAGCCGGTCATGGGCTGTAGGGAGCAAAGCCTCTTCCAGATCAGACCAGGGCTGGTCCCTGCCTCATCCTGGAGGCACCCTGGTGACTGGACACCCACTTGTGGGTGAACCCAGTGGTTCCTCTTCTCCCTCAGCCTCCATGGCCACTCTGAGCAGCTCTCCCCACCAGCCCCTTACTCCCCAAGGACTTCTCCACCCCCCCTGACAGCTGCACCAGGAGAACTAGGCACCATTCACATGGCTGAGCTGGCTCTCGAGGCCCCCGATCCTCCATCTCCTCCAGACTCACGTTTTAATTTTCCTCCAATAGTTTAATTTAGGTATTTTTGAACAGGTAATATAGTCACATGGCCAAAAATTCAAGAGGAACTGACGTTGGCCCTGGCCGGGTAACTCAGTTGGTTAGAGCGTTATTCCGATACACCAAGTTTGCGGGTTCGATCCCTGGTCAGGGCACATACAGGAATCAATCAATGATGCATCAATAAGTGGAACAACAAATGGCTCGCTCTCTCTCTCTCTCCCCCCCTCTCCTCTTCCTCTCTATCTCTAAAAATCAATAAAAAAAGAAGACTGTTCGCTTAGACTAAAGGCACTGAAGTCTGTCCTCAGGTGCCCAGTCCCCTCCCAGGAAGTGACCATTGTCCACAGGCTGCTGTGAGCCTTGGTTTGTCACCTGAAGGATCTAACAGGTCCTTGGACACCAGTAGGACAGACGTTCCCCTTCCCCTCTGTGACTGTGGACTATTCCACGGCATAGACGGATCCTGGCTGTGTGCATGTCTCCTATAATGGAGAACCAGGGCGTTAAGTTGTTGTCTGAATAATAGTCATTGAATGGATGTACCACATTCAGCTCACCCACTGATCAGTTGATGGACATTTGGGCATTTCCACTTTTTGGCTGTTATAATACTGCTGTGGACATTGACTACATTTTTTGTTGAATGTGTTTTCTGTTTTCTTGGGCATACAGATGGGAGTGGAATTGCTGTGTCAAATGGTAGTTTCTATGTGTAACTCTCTGAGGAAATTCCACACTGTTTTCCACAGTGGCAGCATCGTTTTACACTCCCACCAGCAACGTATAAGGCTTCCAGTTTCTCCACACGATTACCAACGTTGGTATTTTCCTTTAAAAAAAAAAATTGCAGGCTACTAGCGGATATGAAGGGCTATTTCAACGTGGTTTTCATTGGCATTTCTGTGAAAATAATGATGCAGTTTACTTGCTCACAGAACCATTGTTCATTTGTATGTCACCCTTGAAGAACAGTTTTTTCAAGTCATCTGCCCAGTTTTCAATCTTTTTTTTGACTCTCTGTTGTTGAGTTGTAAGAGTTCTTTATATGTGCTGGATACTAATCCTTACGTGATCTATGATTCCCAAATATTTTCTCCCATTAAGTGGGTTGGCTTTTCACGTTCCCCGTAGTGTCCATTGATGAACAGAATGTTTCATTTTGATGAATTCCGCCTTACACATTTTAATTTCTGTCCAACTGCTGGGGGTCACGGCAGGGCCTGGGGTGACCGTCTAGGTGGTCCCCCCTCCGGGGATGCAGGAGGCCTGGAGAATGACGTCCAGGGTCCTGCTGGGAGGGGAAGGACACAGGTGACTCCATCCTTGCCCCTCTTTCCTGCAGGATTTTCAGGGCCCAGGGCAGAGGTGGTGCTGGTGGCCTTTGGGGAAGCAGCTGTCAAGACCCTGCTCCTCCTTCTCTGCCTCATCTTCGTCATGTGAGCTCTGCCCCATGGGGAAGGGGACACGTGGGGAGGGTAGAGTGCACCCGGCTGAGTCCAGAACCAGGGCTGGGAATCCTGACAGTTCAGGGCAGGGCCAGCAGGAGGTGAAGGGGTGGTGGGTGAGGACTCCAGACTGACAGGCGTGGTGAGGACCCGCCAGCCAAGTGCCCAGGGTGGGAGGCACCTGCAATGCTCAAGATGGTGTGTGAGGCCAGGCACACCCTCTGCGTTTCAGTCTCCCTCCACCCCTGGGCAGAGAACGGGGGTTGGGTCTGCTGCCCAATGTGCCCTGATCCAACCAGACTGAAAGGCCCTGGTCTCTTCTCTCAGAGTCAGGTACCACAAGAGGAAGGCCCCGAGGCCCCAAAGAGGTATGGAGGATGCCAACACCACCTCAGGTTCACCCTCAGGTGAGCGATGCACGTATCTCACCACCCGGTGCCTCCCCAGGATGGCCCCTGGGATTGCTCCACTCAGCACTGCTTAATTTGAGCTGCCCCCTACCTCCCCAAACCCACTTCTCTGCTGGGTTCTGCACTTTTCCCTTCCTCCCTGCTCCCCAATCCACTAAGGCCTGTCCATCTTTCTTCCTAATCACAGCCCACAGTGAGGGCCATCTCCTCCCCGTGATGACCCTGGTGGTTCCTGGGGCCTCATCACTTCCCTGGCTCTCTGACCCCACCAACCTTTTGCCTCCAGATTGTGTTTCTGGAGACATATCGCCCACCTCCTGCACAGTTTGAGCAGCGATGGTTCTCCTCCATGGCCAGAGATGAGCTGCAGACACCACAGGATGGATTTGAGGGCCTGGCATGGCCTGCTCCCCTGCAGGACTCTCCACTAGATTGTACCATTGCCCTGAATCTCATAGCACCTCCACATCCAGGTCGGGGAGGGGCTTTGTCACTGAGACTTTGCACTTCCTTCTGCTGAAATGCCCTCCCCTCCCCATTCCTGCATCTCCAAGCACTGATGATACTTTGTCTCAGTTAAAAGTTACCTCATTGTATGTGTGTGTGTGTGTGTGTGTGTGTGTGTGTGTGTGTGTGTGGTTTTGAACAAAACAATATTTAGTCATTTATGTACAGACTCTTTAGCAAGTATAACCGTACACCTGCTATGTGCCAGCATTGTTGTAGGTACTGGGGATGCAGCTGTGAACCGGCATAAAAATATCTCTCTCATCTAGAAGCTATCATTCTGGAGACAAGAAGATAAAATTTAATATAAATAAATAAAAATTAGCCCGGCCGGGTGTGGCTCAGGGGTTGAGTGTCGACCTAGGATCCAGGCGATCGGGGTTCGATTCCCGGTCAAGGCACATGCCCGGGTTGCGGGATCGATCAATGACTCTCTCATCATTGATGTTTCTGTCTCTCTCTCTTCCTCTCCTTTCCTCTCTCTGAAATCAATAAAGATATATTAAAAAAAGAACCTTTTGGATGGTCACATATGTGTGGGGAGGTTCATGCAAAGAAAGTATCAGGTGACATGTGGGGAGACAATTCCTGATGTCGAGAGTATGAACAGTGATGTCTGAGCCCAGACTTGATGCTGCTGAGAGAGCAGACTTTGGTTTCCCTAAAGGAAATGAGCTGGGAAGACGAAGGGCAGTGCCACAGCTCTGAGGCAGGGGCAGCCTGGCGGGCATGTGGTGGAGACAAGACTCAGCGGTGACCGCCCCGGGGGCCTGGGAGGAGAGACCTGGGAGGTGGTGCAGACCCCATGGTGTGCAGCCCGTGAGGCCTTGCAGCAAAGGCAGGAACCTGGAAGCTTTTGAGGAGAGCAGAGATAGGACTGAGCATTCTTTGTAACAGGATCCCTGTGACTGCTCTGTTCAGAATAGAGCCAAACAGAGATTGAGGAAGGCAAGGAAGGCANCTGAGCATTCTTTGTAACAGGATCCCTGTGACTGCTCTGTTCAGAATAGACAAGAGTAGGTCCAAGCAGCCAAACAGAGATTGAGGAAGGCAAGGAAGGCGGGACGGGATGGCGGCTGAACCAAAGAGGTGAGGAGGAGAGTGAGGTTTACTTTTTGGATATATGTTGAAGATCAAGTTGACTGAGTTTCCTGCCGTTGTGGGGCCTGAGGGAAAGACCAGGGCCAGGATGGTGACCAGGCATTTCCCTTCGGCACGGGAAAGGATGGGTTGTGTTTCACGGGCACAGAGAAGAGGTTTTTGTGGGTGATGTTCACTGAGAAGCCACTTCATGCTCAACTGGGGACGTCAGTGAGAGAGCTGGTGTGAACATCCGGAGGTCAGGAGAGGGGTCCAGACAGGAGATGTGTACACGTGTGGTCCGTACGTGTAAGATGATGACAACAGGTGAGGACGGAAAAGGACTGGTGGCACACAGAGAAGAGAAGGACAAGGAAACCCCTCGTCATTGAGGGTCCGGGCAACTGGGGTTTCAGTGGTTGGTGGGAAAGGTGTGAAGAGGTGATTGTCGCCACTTCAGAAGAGAATTGGAGGAGGGAATATGGAAGTAGTGGGTCTAGACAACCCTTTGAGGAATTTGGCTGCAAAGGGAAACAGAGGAATGGGTCGGGTGAAGGTCTTCTCTCAGCTCCTTCTCTGTGTTCTCCAAGAGGACCCATGAATTCCCACCCGTATTGGTTTCCTGGGGACATGGTAACAAATTACCACACACTCGGTTACTTTAAAAAAGGAAACTAATTCTCTTGGTTCTTGAGGCCGGAAACCCATGTAGGGAGTAAAAATTAATTCTCCCGTTGTCCTTCTAATTTATCAACTGAGACCCCTGAAACAAAGAAAGATTTGGTGCCGTGTCTCCGGGTAATGAGCACTATACCCCATCAGCTGAAATGAGTTCTGTTGTGTAGAAATCAAGTTGTTGGGTGGGATGCACTCCGTCCAGACGCTGGAGAAGAGAATCCCTGTCTTGCCTCATCCAGGTGATGTGGCTGCCAGCTGTCGTTGGTCTGTGGCGGCATCACCGCAATCTGTCTCCTGGTCACAGTGCCTCCTCCTGAGCTGTGTTTAGAAAGTCACCCACTACCTCTCTCTCAGAGGACACTTGTGGCTGGATTCAGGGACCAACCCTAATAATCCAGGATGATCTTCATGTGAAGATCCTTAGCCTAGTCCTATCTGCAAAGACCCTTTTTACTTACAAGATACCATTGCGGGTACCAGGGATTAATACCTGGGTATCTTTGGGTGGCCAACATTCAGCTCTTTGCACTGTCCACATGACCTTTTGCACTCCCTGAATGTTCCTGTCTGGCCTGCAGACCTTGTTTGCTCTGCTCTTCCATGTCGCCATACATTAGTGGGTCATCTCAGCAGTTACACATGTTTTAGGAAGCAGGAGCTTGTTGTTCTGTAAAAGCCACCATTAAGAGAGTTAAAGGAAAAGTTACAGACTTGGAGAAAATATCTGCAAATAGATACTTCATGAATGACTTGTGTCCAAGGTATATCCAGGACTCTCAAACAAAGCCGTAAACAAAAAATAGGCCCAGTTGTATAAAAATAGTCACTCAACAACAGCAAAACCAACAACCTTATTTAAAATTTGACTGATGATTTGAATAGACATTTTATAAAGATATACACATGACCAATAAGCATATGAACTTATGCACAGCATCACTAATATAGGAAAATACAAACTAAAACCACACCGTGAGCTACCACCATTATTGCTTAAGATGGCTATTATATTTTTTAAAAACTGAAAAACAGGAAATGGCAAGAGTTGGAGCAGATATGGAGAAAATGAAACTCTTGTGCTTTGCTCTATATTCCAAAACTTTGCATCTGCTTTAAAAAAACAACAGCATGGCAGTTCCTCAAAACATTAAAGATAGAATTACCATACAATCCAGTAATTTCATTTCTGGGTGTTTACCCAAAGGATTGAAAGCAGGAACTCTAGTAGATATTTATACATCCCTGTTCATTGCAGCATTATTCACAGTTAGGTGAAGGTAATCCAAGTGCCTACTGACAAAGAAACAGATACACACAGCGTGGTGTACACATACAAGGAAATGCTATTCAGCCTCAGATATGGAAGGAAATTCTTACACCACATTGTGGATTGAAGACACTACACTAAGTGCAACAAGCCAGTCACCAAAGGACAAATACTGTGTGATTCCACTTCCATGAAGTACCCACAGCAGCAAATTCATAGACACAGAATGTAGATTTGTAGCTGCCAGCATCTGGAGGGATGGAGAGCTATTCCTTTCATGGGCACAGAGTGTCATTTTGGGAAAAATGACAAAAGGTCTAGAGGTGGATGGTGGTGATGGTCACACAACAATGTGAATGTACTAAATGCCACTGACCCAGACAATTAAAAATGTTTTTGTTAAGTATGTGCTACCGCAACTTTCAAAAACAGGCAAAGATTTTTATCGGTTATTTCACCAAATATAAAAAATAATGGCAGCTATGCACAGGGAAACATACTTAATATCATTCATTATTAGGAACTTACAGATTTAAACCAGGATGAGATACAACGGAATACTACTTAGTAACAATGCATTATGAGCTACAGATACATAGAACTTGGATCAAGTTCACAAATATTATGCTGAGTGAGAGAATATAGACATGAATCAGTACATTTATAGAAATTCTCCTATAGACAGAACTAATTCACCATGAGAGAAGGTGTACCAGTGGTTACCTGGGGCTGGAGATAATGGTGATGAACTACAGAGAAGTGGGGGAAAGTCTCTGTGGTAGTGGAAATGTTCTGTATCTTGATTGTAGAGGTATACATTTGTTCAAATTCATAGAAATGCATACACAAGTGGGTGCATTTTGTTTTATGTAAATTATAAAGTTATTTGAAGAAACACAATGAGAACTCACAGAGTCCTCCCTTCCATGAATATGGTATAACTTTCTTTACTATACTCATCAATTGTACTGGGTTTTCTATTATATGCTCTATTCTTACATGGTTTTTTAAACAACTAGAACATGATATTATTTTACTTATGGGAGACTCAATTTTTAAAAAATATTTTTATTTATTGATTTGAGAGAGAGAGAGAGAGAAAGAGAGAGGAAGGGTAGAGAGAAAGAGAGAGGAAAGGAGAGAGAGAAAAACATCAATTTGTTGTACCATTTATTCATGCATTTATTGGTTGCTTCTTGTATGTGCCCTGCCTGGGGATCAAACCCACAACTTTGGCGTATCTGGAGGACACTCTAAACAATATTTAGCTACCCGGCAAGGACAAGACTCAATTTCTTATCCAACAAATGAGGGTGCAAAAATCTCTCTGTATTAGTAAGACTGACAGTCCACCTATCTAGATACTACTGTGTTGGAAAGATTTTACAAGTGTGTGGTGGCAAATGCTTTTATGTCACTGGGATCGAGAATTTGCTAGATGCATACACCATAGGCTCAGATGGAAAACCAGGTGATCTGAACCTAAATTTTAGTTGTAGCTGCATATTCCACTCATGTTTCCTAGAAATATTATGTTTATCACATTTAACTGTGAAAGTATATTTTTCATCAATTCTTACACATTTTTATTTTATGTAAAAATTATACCCCCCATAGTCCCACTAAGGATTTAAGGTTGACTTACAGTTTTATAACACTTTTAAGGTAGCAATTTTTTTTTAAAGGATAACAGAAATCACCTAGGAAACAAGAAATAATTGTACCAGAGAGCTGGGATAAGGTTGTTTCTCAAATTAAGTACTAGATATATATCTGAGATTCCTGGCAGCCAATGCAACAAGGGAAATGTGGACTCTTATGTCTGAGAAAAGAAAGTATGTAGTTTATTTGAAAGGCAAATATCATCTTACCGCTGAAGACTTTGAGAAACTTACGCCACTTGGAAAAGACACTGCTTAACATAATGAGAAATGCTTGAACATATTATTAATCCACAACTTTGTCCTTGGCTATTGGAGAACTCAAAGCAGCATTTTTCCATGAGAGGAAATGTTCATCTGTGTGGTGAGAAACTGAAACAGTTTCTCCAATTCCCACACACCGAGTGACTGGAACCATAAAAAAGAGCTTCCTGTCCTGGCTTATGGGACATGCGGTTCCCTTTGTTTTACATAAAGATGCAACACTGTTCTTATTTTGTAGATGCCGTTGCAACATCAGGAATCAGTAATTGGTTGTAAAATAAAAACCCACACTTGTATTTTTAGAAAATACCCAGCAAGCCACCAGGACACAGGGTAAACTCACCAGTGACTGCAGCTCTAAAGCCAGACAGTGCTGTGTTTGGGAGGCAGTGATGTCACTGGGTGGGGAGTTTCTCACAGACACGGACCAGGTCCATGTATCTGTTCTTGTCTTGCCTTCAGCCAGCAAACACTTAGGTGCAGCCGAGTGTTTGGTGAATGAACGAATGCTGCCCTCACTTCACTGTGACCCCTTCATTTCTTCTGTCCCAATCCTTCACCCACAGGAACGACCACAGCTTCTAGATGAGGCTGGGACCTCTGGCCAACGTAGGGTTGAGCGGCTGCCTGGAACAGGCAACAGAGCTCAGAAAAGCCCCTAGTATGAGCGAACCTCAGGGGACTCATGTGTCCCATCCTCAGATGTCCTCAGAGGTGCTGGTCCTGCTCCGGTGCTGGAGGGAGGCCCCAGGGATGGGACAGGACCGGGGCCTGGTCCTTGTGTGTTCTTCTCTGGGCGGGTGGCCAGGGTCTCTGGGCTGTGGGGTGTCCACCTGCTCTGTGCAGAGAGGGGAAGCGCTTTGGCTCTGAGGTTCCCCTTTTGTGAAGGGCCAGGATCTCCTGTCCTCCCCAGCTTCCGTGGACTCACCACGGTTCCCCTCCCACTGCCTTCTTTCTTTCCTTATTCACAGGAGCTCAGTAACCCTCTGGTCAGAGATGCTGCTGCTGCTGCTGCTGCTGCTGCTGTGGGCAGGTGAGTGTCTGAGGGGGAGGGAGGGCAGCAGGGGGACTGCAGCTGACCCTCCTTTCCCTGCAGGGTCCCTGGCTCAGGATAAAAGATACCAGATGAAAGTGAATTCACCTGTGACGGTGCAGGAGGGCCTGTGTGTCTCTGTGCACTGCTCCTTCACCTACCCCCGGACCTATGCGAATTACCCTGCTTATGGCTTCTGGTTCCGGGAAGGGGCTGATATATACCAGGATGCTGCTGTGGCCACCAACCACCCACATCGTGAAGTGCAGGAGGGGGCCCGGGGCCGATTTCACCTCCTCTGGGATCCCCAGGCCAAAAACTGCTCCCTGGACATCAGAGATGCCAGGAGGACAGATGATGGATTATACTTTTTTCGGGTGCAGAAAGGAACTTCTTTGTTATATTCTTATGCATGGAACAAGTTCTCCCTGCATGTGACGGGTAAGGAGTGGGCTCCAGGAGAGGCCTCAGGGGAAGCTCATGGTGGCTCCAGAGCAGGCCTGGGATGGAAGGACCTGGACTGCAAAGCCTGGGGCTTCTGTCAGGGCCGCACCTGGGCCCTCCCTCCTGACACCGTCTCCCCCTCTCCTCACCAGCCCTGACCCACACACCTGACATCCTCATCACAGGGGCCCTGGAGTCCGGCTGCCCCAGGAACCTGACCTGCTCTGTGCCCTGGGCCTGTGAGCGGGGCTCGCCCCCCATCTTCTCCTGGACCTCAGCTGCTCACACCTCCCTGGGCCCCAGGACCCGCTTCTCTTCTGTGCTCACCCTCACCCCACGGCCCCAGGACCATGGCACCAACCTCACCTGTCAGGTGCATTTTCCTGCAGCTGGTGTGACTGTGGAGAGAACCATCCAGCTCAACGTCACCTGTGAGTGCTAGGCCAGGACACCAGGGTCCCTGAGGGTGTGTGGAGCAGGAGGGCCAGGCTGGTGTGCTGGGTGCTTTGTCCTGGGGGCCTGGCCGAGTAGGTGACTAGAGGACAAATCCCTGTCCCTCCTGCATTTCTCTTGCATCTGGGGGTTGGGTGATGCCTACATGATCCTCACCCCATCTCACTGACAAGGGAACTCCTCTCTTCCTGTCCTAGGTGCCCCACAGAACCCAACAACAGGTGACTGCCTAGGAATTGGCTCAGGTAGGAAGGAGGCCCCTGTCCATGGGGCCTTGACTGAAGTGGGGCTTCTACCTGGTGGATTCAGAGCTGGACTTCCAGAGTTCAACAGGGGGGAGCGGCCTCGGTTAGACATGAGAACCCCCATCCAACCTCTACCCTATTGTCCTTCTACTGCCAGGGTGACCCACCACCTCCTCCCTGCCCATTCTAAAAGACGCTCTTTGACTTCCTCCAGTCACAGATGCCTTGCGGCATTTTAAAGTAGACTTTAGTTTTTAGAGCAGTCATAGGTTCACAGCAAGACTGAGCAGGAGGCAGAAGGTAAAACGATTTCCCCTAAACCTGCTGCACCTTCCCTCCTGCAGGTCACCCACCAGTGGGGACATATGTACCACTGATGAACCTACACTGACACATCATCATCACGAAACCCCATCATCTACATTCAGATTCACTCTTGGTGTTGCACATACTATGGTCTTGGACATTATATAATGACATGTGTCTGCCATTATAGTATCATGTAGAGTAATTTCACTGCTCCAAAAATCTCTATTTTTTGCTGTTGCTGTTAATCCTCACTGAGGGTATATTTTTCCATTGATTGTTAGAGAGAGTGGAAGGGAGGGTGAGAGAAACATTGATGTGAGGGAGACACATCAATTGGTTGCCTCCCACATGCACCTCGAGTGGGGCCAAGGATTGAACCTACAACCAAGGTATGTGCCCTTGACAGGGAATCGAACCCGTGACCCTTTGGTCTGCAGGCCAACAATGCTGTAACCACTGAGGCATATCAGCCAGGGTCGAAAATCTCTATTTTTTGACTGCCAATCCCTCGGCCCTCACCCTGATCTATCTCTGGAACTCAGTACTCCCCCTGCCCTATTCCCATTGGTAATGGCATCTGGTACCCCCCACTGGACAGTGACCCCATTAGGACTCTCTCAGCAGTCCCATCAGACTGTGATAGACAGGTAATGCCCAGAGACACGTCCCTGACCCTGGGCATTGGGCTCTTGGGAGGCATGGCCAGAAAGGACCAGGAAAGCTGTCTGGGTCTTGCCTGAAGGTCTGAGAGCCTCCCCACTTTCATCTTCTTCTGGAGGCACAAAAGACCACCTTTGACCCTTTGGAGGCCAGGAGAGAAGATTTAGACCCCTTCCCAGGAAGGGAGGAGAGACAGGTCTTTCTGCATCCCACAGCACTCTGTGTGTCTCTCTCCCTGGAGTCCCCATGGGATCCTGAGCCTCAAGGTCATGCTGCAGCCAGGTCTGGGGTATGTTGTAGAGATACCCTAGATGGAGAAGAACCCAGGTCCCAGAATAGATGAAGTTTGCTGCACAGGAATGTGGGGATTGGATTGGAAGTGTCACGTAGACCCTGTCCTTCATTCCACGGTTGTGGAAGACCAAGGTGCTGAGCCCTGGATGGGAGGAGAGGGGCACCCATCTCTTCATGCTCTCGAGGAGGGAAGACATGCCTGCTCATCAAGACTGGAGCTCACTCAAGACTCTCTTTCTGCAGGGGAACCAAGGACCAGGGCAAAAGTGGTTCAGGGGGCCATCGGGGGAGCTGGTGTCACTGCCCTGCTGGCTGTCTGCCTCGGCCTCATCTATTTTGTGTGAGCTGGGGCAGGTGTGGGCCAGAGGTGGAGAAATGGGACCTGGAGGGGTTGTGAGGGCCTGGGGCAAGGGTAGGGGGTACAGTGGTGGTGAGAATCCAGCCGATCGCCGCTGAGCCAGCTTCAGTCTGTTCCCAGCTCCGGTCCCAGGTGTCTGAGAGTGGGGGGACCGTGTTACAAATTCTTGTTATGAAGACTCCTGGTCTCGCCCCAACCTTTACCTGCCCTAGTCACTCTCTCCAGCCCCAAAGAGTGACCCTGTGTTGAAAACCCTGGTGTCTCACCACAGAGTGAAGACTCACAGGAAGAAAGCAGCCAGGGAAGGAGTGGTCGTGGACAGCATCTACACTCTGGTGGGACCAGCTTCCCTGGTGAGTGATGTGGGCACCCTGGTATGCAGCCTGCCCACCACACCCCCACTTCCCATGCGGCCCACAGTCACCCTCCATCCAGCATGTCCAGGAATGAGCTCTCCATCTTCCCACTCTTTTGGAAAATGTAGCTTTTATTATTATTCAGGTATGTCAGGCCAATGGATCAGAAAACCATTGCCCCCATTTGTTCCTCACAGTTCCCAAGAGGAGGGGAAAACATCCCACCACAGGGCCACCCAGGGCAGCACCGGGGTCGGCCAGGAGGCAGAAAGAGTGAGGGGGGAAAGTGGGCAGGACCCTTGGTGGCGGTTTCCACGGGGAAGGCGAGGTGAGGCAGGGCAAGCAGGCTTAGAACTGGCTAGTTTGAATAATTTCAGTGGGCTCTGGGCGTAGGGGCCATCTCCCAGTGTCTGGTACCAGGTCCTGGTGCGACTGGGGCAGGGGGAGAATGGTCTGGAGTGTAAGAACTCCATGGAGGAGGTTGTTGGAGGTGTGGACTTTGGACTGGACTGGCTGGCTAGTTTGCCACGTGAAACTCACACTTTACTATCTCTAGCAATCGGCCAGTCCTGGCAGAGACAGGACGAGGCTTAGCAAAGCCCCAGATGTCAACACCTAAGAGGCACGTAGTTGATACATCCCCAAACATATTTCTGGTGAGCTCTCCATCTCACCCATGGTGTTCTTGTACCTGACGCCCAGAGACCTGTCCCTGTCCCACCCCGCCCTCCCAGCGCCTGTGCTGCTTCTGAACACAGATCCGCGTAGCCATTCCCTTCCAGCTGAGCTCCCCGTAGCCTGCAGCCTGCTGCCGCTCTCCCATCCCTCCTCCCGGCACCACCCCGTCGCGCCCAAGTCTGCAATGCGCTGGTTCTCCACACTGCCAAGCGCCCAGCCATCTTGGTCTGGCACTTGGGGTGAGATAACCAGAGTCACCTTCAATGTTTCGCGCCTCCTAGGCTCGCCTGCTCACTCTCCTCGAGCAGAGTAAGCCTCTTGCGTCTCAGAATCATCGCTCGGCTGCCTCCTCCTCACATGCCTGTGTCAACCCGCCCTGTTCCTGCTCGTCCTCTGAGCTCTGACTCTCGTTTATTCATTGAACTCTGGCTAATATGGACAGCGCTGTGAGGTTCTTGAGCAGATGACCAGCAATCACTCGTGCATTTATCTCTCCCTCCAGCCATTATCTCCCACTTGTCAACTGTTCTGAGTGCTCGGGTAATATATATATATATTTTTTTACAAATTATTATGTTACAAGTGTAAAATGTCCCTCTTGAAAACTCTCCTTGGCTTGCAGATGGCCACCTTCTCACTGTGTCCTCACATGGCCTTTTCTCTGTGCCCACACATTCTTGGCATCTCTTCTTCCTATAAAGACTTAAGTCATTTTGGGTCCTACCCTAATGACCCCACTTAAAATTAAGTACCTCTTTCAAGGCCCTATCTCCAAATACAGCCCCATTGGGAGTTAGAACTTCAACATATGAATTTGGGGGACACAGTTCAGTCCATAAGACAAACATAGTCAGGGTAACAATGATGAATCTGGTGTGAAGCAGTTGAGTTCTGGATGCATCCTGAAGGTGAGGTCGACAGGATTTGCGAATAGAATGAGTGAGTACACTTGGGGTGCGAGCAGAGATAGCTCACTGCCTTTACCTCATAGGTATCATAGACATCAAAGAGGACTCCGTGGGTGTCAGAGGTGTCACAGATATTCCGAGATGTCACGGGTATTCATAGGTTGTCACAGATGTTTTTAAATGTCCACAGATGTCCATAGATGTCAAAGATAACTTTATGAATATCACAGATGTTCAGAAATGTCACAGTCAGAGATGTCTATTGATCGTCATGGATATTCATGGATGTCATAGACATCCAGCGATGTCATAGAGGTCCACAGATAGTCGTAGATGTCCACAGATGTCCATAGATACCAAGGATGACTCCAATGTGGTTGCCTTGAGCAACTTAAAGAATTGACTTACCAATTCCTGAAATTGCCATCTTTTCAGGAGGAGTATGTTTCTGAGAGGGGATCAAACCTTGTTTTGGTTATTGTAAGTTTGAGGTGCTTCTGAGATGTTTATGTGAAGGTGGCAAGTAGGTGGTCAGAATCTAGAGCTCAGGAGAGGGATCCAGGGGGGAAGCACAGAGATTTTGGGGTCTTCCACACCAAGGTCTAATAGTGGATGAAACCACAAAGAAGAGAAGGGGTCTGTGGACAAAGGCCTGGGACCCTCCAGCATTTACAGTCAGGGAGATGTGGTGGAAACAGCAAGAAGACCACTGAAGAAAAAAATGATCAGGACAGTATAGGATTGGGTCCTGATGACCGAAGGGGGATGAAACTCCAAGGAAGAGAGAGTGCTCTTGTTTTTTTTTTCCAAATACTAATAAGTCCAGTAGGATAGGATCTGAGAAATGACTTTAAACTTAGCTAAGTGGTTTCAGAGCTGAGCCAAACAAGAGCAGCTCTGGTGGCCTGGCAGAGGCAGATGTCTTGATTGGAGTCAGTTCAAGAGAGAATAGAGGAAGAAGAAGTGAAAAGCCTCTTTTGAGAAATGTTTCAGTAACTCTGGGTCAAGAAATGAGTCTGGAACAGGCTGACGAATCTCAGAGGGAAGGCGGGGGTGGGG